AAACTAAATAAGTAGTCAAGCAATCCAATTCTTGGGTAACATTGTGAGGGTATTTTTATTAAGCGGAACTGATGTTATTAAATACAAATATTTACTATGCAAAAGTCGATCGTTTGTGATCGTTTGTGATCGTTTTGTCCGTCCGTCCGTCCGTCCGTCTGTAAGCAGGATATCTCTAGAACGAGTCAACATAATTAAACCCCGTTTTCGCTATTGTGCTTCTAATTTTTAGTTCTCGGTCGAGTTCGAAAATGGGGTCAGTCTGACCACACCCCACAGCGCCAGGGGGTGTGGTCAAACATTAAATTTAACCTTAATTTCCATATGGGGTGTCATTTTAAAGGAAATTTCGCCACGAATTCAATGGCGTTAAAATGTTTGACCTTGTGACCTTAAGGACGAGGTCAAAGGTCAAAAATACATAACTGTCATATGGGGTATCATTTTGAAGTAAATTTGACTGCGATATGAAGAATGTTAATATTTTTGATGTTATGACCTTGAGGACGAAGTCAAAGGTCGAAAGATTCATAATTTGTCATATGGGGAATCATTTTAAAGGAAATTAGACTCCAATTTCAAGGACGTTAATATTTTTGACCTCATGTTCGTTGGTACGAGGTCATATACGGAAACTTTAAAGGAAACTTCAATCGGTCTGACGCTACTTATTTACATTCGTTTGGAGGGTTTATTCAAATTAACCGGATCATCTCGATTTTAAATTTATCGTTTTGATAGTCTCGTTTAATTAAACGAATTTCAACCTAATTATGTGTCTCCTACATGTGCAGCACTTGTGCAAATTGATATATGTGCATACATAAGTCAAGTACTATCGTTTGTAACACATTCGTGCATATTAATAGATGTTCCCGTTATTACTCATTACCAGAGCATGTTAATTTCAATTCTTTTCTATTGCTAGTTCTGTCAAACTTGAATGGCCTCTATTTTTTTAAGAAGAAGCGCACCTGATAAAAATATATTACTAGCGCACAATTTTGATTGAGAAATTTAATTCAGACATAAAAATAAATTATCCCATACACCCATCCAGCAAGCAATCCCTTACACAAATTCACACCATGTTCGATCCATTCAATTACATACACAATGATACAAATAATGCAAGACAACGCCCAAATCTTTCCCAGTGCTTCGAATTTTTCAAAAAAATCTCGTCTTTCTAACGCATCAAAATTAGGGCCCGTCCAGTTCGCATAATGCGGGAACAGCTTTCGCTTTCTATTTTTCCTAAACCATGCCTCCCACCAGTTATAAATACCTGAACTTATCAAAACCTTTAGTCGATCAAGAACATAATTCTTTCTCTGATAGGGGTCAACCTGAATGCCAAAGTAGGTCAAGAGAAACTCATCATCCGAACCCTTCATGAAAACTATGCCGTCTCTGTTATCATTCAAATAGTCCAGAAGTTCCAGAATGTGTTCAGTTGTGTCCATGTAGACCAGTTTGTCGTGACATTTTGAAATGTTCGGGTACAGATGGAGTGGCCATTTATGATGCAAGGCTTGCCAAATCCGTGGGGTGATTCCAGTTTGATTTCCTGTCACGTCTCCCCTTCCTACGTTTACATCCCCATTTACTAGTGCTTGGGCTACTCTTTTGTATCCGTTCAGCCGTGTCAGGTTTCCCTCGTAGGCGGCTGCCGTTTGTAAGTCAGCAGCGAAACGAAATGCTAGTAGCGGGGGCGGTGTTCCGTTGGCGTACATATCCTCGTACTTTCTGTCTTTATAGTCCGCCGCGAAGAAATATTTGAACCCTAATTTCTCCAGGTCGTAGATGTAATTCCAAGTAGGAGTCCGCTCAAATGGATGTATCACCTCGGCGGTAAAAATCTCCTTGTAAAATGCCGTGATTGCGAGGGAACATAGAATTCAGAGCCACATTATGGGCCATAATTGGGACGGAATTACCCTTTTAATCCGTGAGATGCAGGACACTTCGAGAAGCGTGGCACAAACCAGGATGGCAACATCCAAGTCGAGAATCAACCACTTGAAGGGTTTCCTTTGTTTAGGATTTTCATTATTTAATTTCACCAGGAAACAGAGTACCTAGAATATAGTCGCTTAATTGTGATAGTGCGTATTTAATTACTAAGTACTTATTTCGACTCACAAGAGAAAGTAATTATCGTAAAAGGTCAAATAGTAGCCGTTGCTCAAATAATAGCCGTTGCTCAAATAGTAGCCTTGCTCAAATAGTAGCCCTGTTTAAATATTAGCCTTATTCGAATTATCGCCGTGCGTCAACTTCCAACGTACATACATACAACTACATACATACATATATATGTATCACCTACCCAGCTCATTTAAGCAATTCAATTACAATTAAATTTAATCCCAGATGCACATAATCGAAGTGAACACGAAATTCGGCTTCGTAGCCCCCGTCTACCATTTGATTTTTACGGTAATTACTAAATTAATTTGGGAAATTGATGACGACAAAATTACTGTATATGTAGTTAAGTAGTTAGTAATCAATTATTTTGAGATTTAATTAAGCCAAGCAATAAATTTCTAATTACCTACAACTAAATATGTAAATTGACACAAAGTAATTAAAATGAATTGCCAATTACATTTCAAGCTTTTTCTTCTGGTTAACTAACTAATTGCATGTCTGCTAAATTACGAGCAAACTAACCTGTAAAGCTATGGCCACACAGGAAATGCAAACCCACGTATATTTATCCAATGGAGTCGAGAATACAGCATAGGTCGATTGCCGAATTCCATAACACGAAAGAAAACTACAGGTGTGCCTCCCAAGCCAAAATATTTGATGGTTCCCAGCACTAAAGCGCAATCTCCCTTTTCCGAAATATTGGTATCTGCATCGGTAATTTATATCTCGTGTGATACTCAGATTATAAAATGTATCCGAGAAAATTTTGTAAGCCATAAAATCCTGAAACGATTGGGACGCGTTAGCAACTTCAAACCAGGCAGGATGTTTTTCACTAAAGAAATATTTCTCATGCATTTCCAGAAATTCTGGAGCAAACTCGAACCCATCCAGGGTAACGTCGCGCCAATCCACGTAAGTCCAGTGGTATTTGCTTAATTGGAGTGAAGTCGAATCAGCCACGGATCGAATATCTGTAAACCTTTGGGTTGGGGATTCAACATTAAAAGGAATTTCTGTGTATCGTCTAAATTGACGGGCAGAGGGTGGATAATCAGCTCCATGGTATCGATTAAGATGTAAAATCTTGTCGTTCTGATAGACTAAAAATTCCCGTGTTCCCAAGACATTTATATCCGTGCGAAACAGCACTCTTTTAATTTTCCTTATTTCCTGTTTTCCCTTCTGATTTCCCGTTGGCACAATCCAGATAAAATATACTGGGACCACGGACCCAAAATAATGCGGAAAGAGGGGGGAATAAAGATAATTTTGTTCGCGCAGGCGGCTTCCAATTTCCGGAAAAATATATGCCCAGCAAAAGTCAGGGTTTTGTTGTCGCATAGCAAAAGCAATTTTAGTAAAGAAGAAATCGTAATCGGGTGGTCGTTCAGTGTACTCAGTATCGTTGGTTATAGTCGAAATGGGAGGATCATAAATTAGTACGGGTCGGGATGGAGTAAAATGATGCTCGTTGAATGGTTTCACGATCGTTGTAACGCACAAACCAAATATTTCAGTAAGATTTTGCACCGAAGCTGAAACGATGTATGGGTGGACACTTTTAAATACTAACAAGGTAAAGGAAATTAGTTTCAAACTTGTTAACGACATCTCGCTCGCATGTAACTATTTCCAGTTTCCGTGTATCAAATAGGCTGTAGAACACTGTTCAAAATTTCAAGCTATCAAGAACCTTCTACCCGGTTGTGTTATTTTTAGGTGTAAAAATATGGTCGATGCCATTTGAATTTAAAGTGTGTACATTTTTTTCAATCTAAAGAGACTTACATAAGCCAACATACACTCTGAAAAATAATGCTATATTTTAAAAAATTAATGCACTCTAGATCACACTTGTAACTTTGTGGATCGCGAGCCGAACCGGATCGTAAATTGCGATCCGATCCACGAGCCGAGCCGAGCCGATCCAGTCGTGGGTCGGATCGTGGATCGGCTCGCGGTACTTTCCTTTCAAGTGGATCGAATCGTGGATCGGATCGCGGTACTTTCCACTCAGGTGGGTCGGATCGTGGATCGCCTCGCGAGGCAAAAGTTACAAGTGTGCTCTAGATTTATTCATTCATGGTATATATTCATTATTCATTGGTATCGTTAGCATTGTTTGTATCGTAAGCTAACTAACGGTTGCGAGACTTTTTAAGATTTTTTCATCCAATATCACATTGCTAAATAAGCTACGATTTTCACAAAACATGTCGCCTTCTTATTCTCTATTTTAAAAATATTTTACTACACAAAGTACGAAGAAATAACGAGTATCTCGATTACATATTAAATGAACTATATCAAACTAACCGAGGATAAAATTTACTCTGTATTAAGGCAACGTTTCCATGGATTTAGGATAGTTTGTTTAACAGGAAATTACGAGAGCAATTCCTGCTCAAACGAGTAGCATTATTTTTAGTGTGGATCCAGAAAACATAACAAGTTCCAACAAAAGAAAGAACTTGTATATGATCAAATTCAAAGGTCCATTTTCTATTTCGAGTGCACTAGAGTTCATTGTTTTGTCAAATTTAACATTAGGAATAATGCAGGTGAAATAGGAGAATTTCGAAGCCAAGTGTATGTACATATTTATGTACATTCCGGTACTTAAAATTTCTATCACTTTCAAGAAACACGTCCAGCTTGAACTGCATAACAAATAGCAATAGCCTTGAAAGACATAAAGGAAGTCTTAGAAATAAAGAGTTTAAGTCGAAAGTTGATCCATATGCAGGATGAAGTGCAAATATTAAGATTTGAAGTACTTTGATGCACGGATTAAGACGACCATACCAGAGGCCGTTTTCTTACATATTCAACTCCAATTTATGCTGTTATAATCATTTACTTTTATTATCTTGTAAATTTACAATTACATTGATCCATTTACAGTTTTTTCGAATATTTAATACCACTCAAATTTAGAATCAATAGATTTATTAATTTGAATATTAGTTGATGGTGATATCCGCACAGTTTCGGAAGGTCTGGGCAGGCTGCGCGTTGTAACAGGAGTCCCAACCTTAAAATTTGAAAATTAAATAATTTGTATTTTATATTTCCCACTTGAATTATCCTATCCATGTAAATAAATAAAATCAACTTCAACATACCAGCTGGTCCGGGATACGAGGTTCGATAAGTCCAACGAAGCGTGCACCGACTGCACGTTACCCCAGCGGGAAGTTGGACTCGGGCGGTAATGTCGGTGTTAACGTTATCGTATGGGACGCAAATGCGGTTACCATCTCGAACATCTTCCGACCCTCCAACGATGGGCAGCTTGGTAAAGCAATTGTCAGATTCCTGCTGATTTGGGCAAAGTTCTACTTCAAAATAGCCGTGGTGGGGAGCTTGGAAGTTCGCGACGACGTTGATAATCTAGAAAAATTCAAATATATAAATTTTGCGGCTTATAGTTCTGCGAGTTTAAGTCAAATACTAAAACTTCCTGATACTTCATTATCAAACTTGGCCCATACTTTTCATTGTAAAAATGTAATAAACCATAAACTTCAAGATATACAATTCCACCAAAATTCTAATCCGTTAAAAAATTATCAATATGGACTGTGAATACAGATACTACTACGTTTGTTAGCGATTGAAAAAAGAAATCAAAAAATTCAAATTTCTCGCTACCCAAATTTATTAAAATATTCAAGATCTCTAAGATCTGCATGTATGAACTTTGTCAGCTTGTGCCTTAATTTATTTTTTAAAGTTTAAATTTAAAATTCATCTTAATTCTGAAGCAATCCCAAAATAATTACCCTTAATCCAGTTATTAAACCCAGTAAATTTCACCCTAATGCTCTTATTAATTTCCAGTAAAATACCCTTATTTCTCCCCATAATCTCACTTAATCCCCTCACAAATCCTACTCAAAATCCCACGAATAATCCCTTTGAAAAACTTGCTTAACTCACTTAATTACTCTGCTTAAAATTCCCTTTACTCCAGCTAATGCTTCTAATAAAAACTCCTCCCCCCCTTTACCCCTCTGACAAAATCTAACGAACCCACTAAGAGTCTCCATTAAAAAGGTTCCCCTCAATCAAAATCATCCCTTCTTACCGATCCAGCCGAATAAGTCCCCGTGATAACCCCCTTGTCATAAATTCCCCCCTGGTTAGCAGTCGTCTCTCCTTGTACGTCACCGCACCTTCCACAAGAGGAATACTGCAAGTTCTGCTGCACATTTCCGCACCAGACGCCCTGATTGTCCCACCAGTAGGGTTGCTGCGTGTTGAATTCGGGCCGGGTTTGGATCGACGTTCGCGCCACGGGGTCCTTCAAATATCCGTGTGATTGCACCTGCGCAACCGCAACGAACAGCGCCAGAACCGCAATTAAATGCATCTTAAGCAAGGTATCTAATTAGTTTCTCGTTTGAAGTAGAAATTCGATGTGTGTGCTGAGTGAGGGACCCGGCTCGCTTTTTATTCGGATTTTCAAGTGTTTATCAATCTCACTTTTACGATAAAATTAATTACAACCGTCTCTGTAGGCTTGTTCTTGTCAATCAATCACCAATTTTGTGCACACCGCCCCACATTCCTAACACGCCTGAAAACACGTGGATTGTTATGGTAGAGCTGGACATACAGTGTAGTGATGATCATCACTGATAAGGTGATCATGACTTGCAAAAGTGTGTAGAGTTGTACTTAACGTATGTATATACATACCTATCATACGTCATGAGATGGTGAGTATGGTATGAGCCAATATTTAGAGTTGTACGTGGGCCTTAACAAGATACGCTCTTATAAGAAACCGATATTCAGTCATAACAGGCAGGAGTTCATAAATGCCGGAACCTTATTACCATGATATTAACGAACATAACCGGTTAGGAATGTTGTGGTAATGATCAATTTACCACTCAAAAACAAAATACTATAAATCCGATAGGAAATTGTTACCGAATCAATGTCAGTACGAGGTAAATACTTCTTTACATATCTGGTCGTACTAGATTTTTTAAAGCCCATTTAAAGCAATTTCATCAGATAGTCAAATAACAGGTAGTACATAATTACCGAATTTGCCTGACACCAAAATTTCCCTAAACTCGTGGCAGTTAATAAAATTCACACGTACCTGTGGAATTGCACAACTCAGAATACCTATTCATCAGGCTGTATATGTGTGCAGTGTTATCTATCATGATTATTGCGACAGGTTTGTCAACATGTTATTGAAATTGATTACTCGATGAGTGAGACTGATTAGTGCAATTGCACTTGAGTTTACTTTGTGTGTATGTATAAAATATTTGTCTAGTGCAAAATGGTTACCGTGTGCAGAAATAGATTCCACTTTGTTGATATTTATACACATGATGAATTACAAGCGTAACGTACTTATGTAAGTTCAAATACGTACGTACGTACCATGCGTGTCAGGAATGTTCAAATGTTATGAGTGTGGACACCTCATGCAAATTTATTACACTGGACTGAAAGAAATTTCTTTAGATATGACAAATTTACGCTAGATTAAGATTTCAGATTTATTGAGTCATCCTTTTAAAAACCTCTTCGGGCCTATGAAGGTACAGGTACACATAATGTAATATGATTTTTAGTATTAGGCTAATAAGAGTTCTGGCATGAGTAATGTTAATGTGATTTACACTATGAATATGCTGGAGACAAATATTCATGCCCGGATGTAATATGGTGCTCTATTTTGGGGTATTGATTAAGGACACATTTTGTCACCGAGGGAAGGTATGTCCAAAACACCTATATACAACACTCGTTAACAAAATTTGACACTTTTATTATCTGAATAGAAAAGTTTTTAACACAATTTTGTTGATTTTTTAGCCCGAGTCAGGGCTTGTGTAACGGTCACGCCCATCGGTCCGTCTATCTGTCTGTCTTGCGATAACTGTCGTAAAACTAATCCGATCGACTTCAAATTTTGCACATATGTAGTATGGATCAAATGAGGAGTTAGATTCGAAAACGGGTGAAATGGGTCAAGTGGTTGACCGGTGGGGGTCATATAGGTGGGTGGGGTATTATGCATTAAAATTTCAAAATCGTCGTCAAAAGCTGAAATTTGGTATAGAGGTAGACAATACTTTTTAATTTAAGAAGATAAAGTAAAATTGTAAAAATTTTCATCTGGAAGGACCCCAGGGGGTGACCCATACCGATTTTTAAAACTCATCCAATCAAGCTGAAATTGGGTGTGGGGATTGGTAGTTGTAACTAATAGAAGGATATGAATTGAAATTAAAAACATTTTTATCTGGGGAGGCTCTGTTTAGTGACCCATACCGATTTTTCAAATTCATCAAATCGAGCTGAAATTTGATAGAGAAGTTGGTAATAGAACAATATGAATTATAATCTGAAAAATTTTCATCTGGAGTGACCCTACTGGGTGACCCGTACGGATTTGTTTCAAACGTTGTATCGAACCGTAATTTGTTACATATGCTGCCAATTGCTACTGTAAGAATTGGAATTGGAAACATTAGTTTCTATTCTAAAAATATTGCTATTAATTTATGATAAAATTTCGTACAAAAAGTCTGATTGGGTGAAAATTCCAACCTTTTCCTGACTCGGGCTATATGTATCGAGTGTGCACAGTAGGTTTTTTACTAATGAGGTAAAATGTGTTTGGAAAACAAGTTTTTGTCTTGTCCCAATGGTGACAAACTTTTCAAGAATTGCAAATATATGTAAACATAATTTCGAATTTATGACAATCTTGTTCTTACAATTGGGACGTAAACCCTGCGCAACCGAGATTATTTTTTGGCTAACATCGTTTGAAACACCAACCATTTAGAAAGAACAATTAGTGCGGAAACATTCCACCAAGTTCTGGGTTTCCGAGACAAGGTTCGTTTCTCCAGCGGAATCTGTGGCTGGAGGTAGAAGCTAGACAACCGAATTTGAGACATGAATAACCTGCTTAAATTTGTGCATCTTTCGTCTTAAACAGTTAGGTGACATACTAATATTATGTTATATAATGTACTAGCGTATAAGCCGTCTCCCGCCGGGCGAGAGTTAATTTAATGTTAAAAATTTCACCAATTAATATCATTGCTTTCTCAACTTTCACTTCCGTCACGGAAAATTATTTTGCTTCCGTCGCAGACAAACATTTCCAGCTTATAATATAAGATATAAATCTCAACAATAACAATGATATTTAAAACCAGTTTTGAAAATTATTGACAATATGAAAGCCTAAGAACTAATTCTTAATGAACTTAACGTATGTACAAATTTAACATCTTCTTTTATCCCAAAAAAATTCACTGATTGTAATTCGTCACGAATATGATTTTTGTGAAATTTGGAAAATTTAGTATATAAATTTATTATCTCTGGGACATTTTTAATCAAGTTTTCTGTAAATTCCTTTTATCGGTTCCGAGTCCGGTGCATGAAATTCGTACTTATTTTTGTCTGCCTCACTCCAAATTATCGGTTCGGATAGTGAAAATTGCTAAACAAAAATGCATTGCAAGAAATGCAAAATATATTACCCACTTAGCCCAAAACCCTTAGATTACACTGAATTATGTATTGTTGTTTAGATAGCGCTAATTAAATATATCAAATTGAGCAACATAATATGTTTGTAGTCATATTTTGTTGCGTATGTACATGCAATTTGCATTTGCATCAAATTTGTTTGCATGACGCTGACAAATTTCGATTGGTCATTTCAATAATGTTTACTCCCATAAACACTGCTTAATAAACAAATGGAAATATTAATTTACCATTGCATGGGTATGATACACAAGAAATATTTGTAGCTGGTCAGACAAACTGTGACACTCTGAAGGAGAGTCAGCCGACAAATATACACGTCCCTTGGGGAGGAGCTATGTCATGAGGTGACAGTCTGCCCTCGACATTTTTCTTAGCATGCTTAGATATCACGGTATGCATGCTAAAAATCTTTATACCAAGTGGCCGACATATTAGGATTTTGGAATGCCCCTAGCTAACTTATCAATGTATGTATGTATGGGCTGGTTGGACATGCATATAAACTCAGAAACTGGACGATACAATTTTACCAGAGCACATTGTCTGTCACTTATCACTTATCTGTGATCGCAGAGCTTAGGATTATCATGCATCTATTTCATGTCTCACTTACCTGGTTGCCAACCCAACCTAACTCACCTTGATGATGCTAATTTTACTTATGCGCAATTTGTAATTACTTAATTCTCGTTCAAGTTTCTTTAAAATAACAATTTATTTCAATCATACTCCTTGCAAAAAATGGACGCTTAAGAAATGGGTCACAGCCTATGTATCAGCAGAATCAATTGCATCTTGGTTTGATTATCGCAGATTGCAATTATTTCTTGGAGGTGGATCGTTCGGGTATTTCTTTAAGGGGGTAATTTTTAGCTTTGTTGTTCATTTACGACCAGCCGATAATTAGCTAATTTCAAGGTTAATTGTTAATCATAATTTAAGTCACAAGGTTTCAGGTTGTCCGATTTAGCCACTTACTAACCGAACATTTTTTTTATTAAGCTCTTTATAAGACCGTTATGTCCGTCCGTCTTCCCGTTGGTGCGATAACTTTGGAAGGAAATGACATAGAGACTTGAAATTTTGAACCTTAACTCCTAGCGTCAAGGGACAGGACGATTTCGAAGATGGACACGGTAGGTAACTCCCTTCAAGGTCAAAAGTTCATGAAATGTCAATTAAAGTCACATTGAATACATATATATATATATCTATTTGAACTGCCCGAATTCAATTGTCACCTCCATTTTGACCTCCAAGATTACGTAAGGTCACAGAAAAGTCATCGACTGCTAAATTTGATACGTATGTATGTCACAATTGTTGAAAACACGTCAGACATGTCAATTTTAGCAGATTTTAAACTGGGGAACACAATATGTGTTCATTTTGTCAGACAACACACTGCTTTCACCCCTTAGTTGCATTCGGTGTAACGGATTATTTAATTCGAAATATCTGTGCGTTTAAAATAATACAAAGTGGATTTTATTTTTCAACTTTGACCTCAAATGTTTTGGCAAATTCTGACCATCGCACAAACTCCCTAAGAAACATTGGTTGTATTGGCTTTTACCACATAAATAATTCCAGAATTTAAGTCAAATCGGAGGGTTACACTTTACCCTATCGCATTGTTAGTGAAAATTAGACACGAACATGATAACAATTTTCTGCCAATAACGTACATATTTGAATAAAACCGCTAATGAGCTGAAGATGAGTTCATAAATGTGTTCTACTTTAATTAAATATATGAATAATATGTAGCCACACCTACACTCTCCTTCCAAACGGATAATATTCCACAATTTTAATACGCAAGGAAAGAACAAAATAAGGGACGTCCAAGAAAGTGGGTGAGAAACGGGAAACGCAATTTCGCAATATTTTTTAAATAGAATTGGGAGCCTTACAACGTATTCAATATATGTTGATCAGAAATATGAATTTTATTTGTACCTTTTGGTAAGTTAAATCACATAAAACAATTATACTTGCTACGAATATGCATAAAAATATATGTACATTCATGCGTATGTAGATATACATACACACTCTTAGAAACTTGGTATTGAAAAAAACCTAACGGTATTGATACGTGACTCTACCGCCTTGGTATTAAACGGTTATACCATATTGGTATGGAACCGGTATTGAAATTATACCTCATGGTAATAATTTTTATACATACTAATTGGTATTAAATTTTTTACCACCTAGTATTAATTCAATACCGGATCAATACCACGCGGTAGAGTCACGTATCAATACCAACGGTTATTGATTTTTCTAAGAGTGCATGCATGCATAAATAAGGTCTATGTACATTAAGCTTCAGGTACTTATTCGTCAACAAATTTGTAGGCATTATTTAAACGTTGTTGTTGACTATGAATTATATGGAAACATTCGGTTTTTTAACCTTGGCCGAATTACGTTGATCAAATTCAAACTTTAGATTCCGAGACTTGAAAGTTTCTGGGAAATATTTCCAATCCCTCTTATCTTCCCGAAGTAAAGATTTCCCCTCAGCTGCGACGTATCCGGCTAGTTGCAGGGTCACGTACTTCTTGACAAGGATAACCTGTCCCAGCATTATGACTAGAATGAGCAGTATCGACGTAATTTGTATTTGCTTGAAGGTTCTGAAAAATTAAAAACATCATTTTATTATATTCAAAATTTTATACCTTTTATCCATCATTTACGATGTTTCTTCTTCGAATTTTTAAATAATATTTTTAAATGTGTGTATATATCAAGGGTGTCGAATAATTTGGGTTATTTAGCTCATAAGTTTTTTTAAAAATCTAAACCTCAATTTGACGTTACTGAAATTCATGCCATTAAAAATATAAAGAAGCAAATTTTCAGAGTAAACTAACACAAACGGACGCAATTAAGAACTTACAAAACTTGAAACAAGTTCAACGTTTTTTACAGGCACCGACAAATAATTGACACATTTTATGCACAATCCCAAATATAACATACAATATGACATACACGACATCTTCCTGTTGCGCAACCTCCTCACTGGTACGCGTCATCTTGGCGTGATCACATTTGTCCTGCGTGTCACCTAAGTTGATGTGTATTTGCTTTAATGACACTTCCTGAAAGGTGCATATTTTCAATTAATTAATTACTCAATTTTTTAATTAAGTCGAGTAAAAAATATTAAGTTTCTAGCTTACTAATTGAGTAAGGTTTCCCTGATTTTCTTCCTGTTAGGTAAGTAATTAATTGCTCAATTATTGAATCATGTGATACATATTAAAACATAAAGTTTGTATCTCTTATTTACCAATCGGGTAGGTTTGTCGTACCAATCTGGTTTTAAAATGTCGTCATTTTGTGTAAATTTTAACCCAAAATATACCAGCTTTTCGGTAATCCAGGAAAATTTATTGGAAAAGCAGAACTTGTAGATACCCGAGGTGTCGACTGGAAGGTCGTACGTGTCTTGTCGTGCTAAATATTCCATATAAATTAATTCTCCTCCCGGAGCTGCAACTGCAACATTGACGTCCAAACGACCACCGGTAATGACCTTTTCGAAACAATGGGCTGGGTTAGACTTTTTTCGCAAATTACGCAGGCTTAGGGTGTCAATATTTCACCTGACTAAAACCGGGACATTTTTGCAAAAAAAATTGTCGATAATAAATATCTCTGCTTTTATGATTCACGTATCATCAAATTTTGAGAAAGTGTTAGGAAAAGAAATTAAACACATTTTTTTGTACGTTATTGATATTTACAATTGGTGCTGGGTAAATTTGCAAAAAAAATCCCATAGTTTTTTGCAAAATCTTGCAAATTTCGCAAAACTTCGCAAGCTACATACATATACTCAATTTATGAGATATACGAAGGTTGATGTGAGTTCACCCAATATTTTGCGAATCTTTTCACAAAAATTTTTTATCTTGGCAAGTTTGCTAAATAAGTTTCGATGCGAAATAAAACTTTGTCGTGAGTAGGCCCATTATAAATCACTCACCAGATAACTAAAAGTCACGGGAAGATCTGATGGTGTTAAAAATTCGTAAAAACACTCCTCCCTCCAGGCCAGAATTGTGACCGTAAATGCAACAGAATTCGGACACAATTCACTACAGTACTCGGACTGCGAACTTTTGGTTTTTACGCTTATCATTAAAATTACGAACGTTATTGATAACCAAGCCACCAAGTACATCATAACTCAAGTTATGTAGGTTTATGTTTTGCAACAATGAATAAAAAAAATCCGTAAAGTTTTCTAACTACGTTACACACATAAAGTCGCCTATTTTATAAAATGGAACAAATTTCACTAATCTAAAAATGATTATGAATGATTCTTGCTAATTTCTTAGACTAATAACTTGATTATGTACGTAATAACGTACAGAGTTGTATGATAAAACTTAATGCGCTAAATACTGAAAATTAATCATTTTACAACCAGTAAACAATCTAGACAGGATATTTGTGGAAAAAGACTGATATTAATATTTACCAAGTTCGTATATACAAATGCACATTTACTTCCCGTAGTAATTTAGAGGTAACTAAATTACCATTGCATATCCACCAATTTCAGCATGAACGTATGTATTACGCATTGAATTAACAGATGGATGTTATGCATTATGAGAGATTAGGTGTTACATACATACATACATAGGTATGTATATCTGTGTGTTAACCAGATCTGATATATGTACATAAGACCACCGGTGCAATCCTGCCCGGTGTTTTCTGTAAAGTTGATCCTGTCACAGGCATGATGATAACAATTCATACTTTGACGTTCAACACATATCCACATACATATTCACCATGAAAAGAATCTTTATCCATGCTACGAGCATACGCATTTCATTCCGTAATTCCACTCTTTCATTTTTTACTTCAGTAAATTTAAATTTATAATTTGCGACATGGAATTTACAAAAGCTTCGCGATCGATGAAATCCCTTGCTGATTTATGATAGCAATGCATGTTAGCCAATTTTACGGAAATGCCAATGGAAAAAATTATTTGCCACTGTATGTACAAAATATGCAACGGCTAAATGTTCAGGAAGATATCATTCAGATTCGAAACCCGTAACATAGCATTCTGATAATCACAACTGCCCAGAATCAGGCAAATTCAAGTAACATGCAGTAACAACGAATATGTAAATTTACAGCGTAACTTAACTTTCATACTAATTTTGAGAAGAAAATTGTATTTTAATTTTATTATGTAACTTTCTACAACATTTACGGAAATATTACGCATTTAGCTTTGCCAACTCGCTTTCTCTCCTTCTGTCTCGTTTGATCCTTTGATTAGAAAAGTATCCAACTGTGTTCACAAATCCGCCCGCATTGTAAACCAAAACCATGAGGAATATCCCGAAATCGTAAAATGGCTCGACTTGTTTTAACCTTTCGCCAAGAACGTTGTCAAGTGCAATCATCCAGAAAAGTAGGGCGGCCGGGAGGTACAAAATGACACCGATTTTTACAAACGTTAACAAACACTGGGCTGCCGTGTCGTGATAAGAGTTTGAAACTTGACCAATTTCCAGCCCGTTTTTATAATTTAGTACGATCCGTCGTATCGCAGAGTAAGCGGAAATTGTGCAGATTGCTTGTGTCGTGGTGAAGAGGAGGGAGCCCAAGATGAAATAAATTCCGGTCGTTGGGTTGGATTCATGGCCGCCCATCCTGCAAAAAATTAGTATGCAAAATAAGTAAGGCATCAACAGGTAATGAAGTTGATACTTCAATAAACCGTCGTAACGTTAAAAGTAGCTCGCCCTGCAATGCTACGACAGAATGAGTCAAACGATATATTTGCATATTCGCCTTATATATTCACGTCGATATAGTCGCGTTTATCCGATATTAAATGTATATGGGATCATGTCAAAAAGTGTCATTTAGAAATGCATAGAAATTACGTCATTTAATTTAAAACACTTGTAACTATGATCACGTCTTGTGGCAGACGAAACAAACATCAGGCCAAGAAAACTTATTCTGAACTTATCATTTCTGAATTTTCAAAAATTCTGTGGCAGATTCTTCACACCGATGGTACACAATAAGCGGAGAAAATAGAAATATGATTTTGACTAGATTTTGCATTAATGACGCAGAAAAAATGGGGAAATTTTGAACACAAATTTGACATGATTTCAAGGGTAAGGGATGGCAGATCCAACAACTTGTATGTATCGGTTAATCTGCAACATTAGTGCGGTTTTCAGCTAGTCTGACCGTAGTAACGTTAGAAGTAGCTCACCCTGTAATAATGATTTGGTTATAACTTGCCCCAAAGGTGCAGAAAAATCCAACAAAATAGGTGCATAATTTTTATGCAATTATGCACCAATGGTGCAGACAAATTAAACAAAATAGATCAATAATTATTATGCATCGAGGAACGTCCAAAAATTGTGCATCACTGGTGCAGAATTACCTACCAACGATCAATGATAATTTTGAAAAATTTATGTCAAAATTGTCTAATACAATCCGCCGTCTAGTATGCATTATTGGTGCTTTATGAATCAGATCCCCCAATTCTTTCGTATCACTTGGTTTTTCCGATTGTCAGATGCTAACGGTGCTATTAATTTATGAAAAAATGGACCAGGGACTTTTTAAATCGCATCAATTAATGCAAATAACTTGTCAACGGACGGACGGACGGACGGACACGAGGAATTCAATAGCTCTCGTGCTACGCAGGGCGAGCTAATAATTAAGAATTTTTAAGGTAAACAGCAGAATTTTGGCCAGTGCGGATTATCCGGTATCCAATTGGATAGCCGAAGAATCCGGATACAATCCAACACAAAGTTTTATCCGATCGTATCCGATGTTGCTTAAATATTTTTATTGGCGACCCGATCCGACGATAAACGGCCAAATAAAAAAAATCTGATCCGACCATTTACGGGTAAAAGATTTTAGGATCGGATAGGTATTTAGCAAGACGGGAAAAATTGTGCAGAGCTTTGTACCAAAAAATTGATCACTTGCCAAAATCTCGAGATTCCAATGCCATCCAAGAAGTATAAAATGGTGACCGCTACCCCCGCCAATGAGGCGGATATGGTGTGCAACTTCCAATCCAGCCGACCCGTGGAGATCTGTTTTCGACAGGAGACATCCATATATGTGTAAATCGCTATCGAGGCGTACATTACTTGCTGATACCTGAACAAAATAGCAAAATAGTGATCTGCTCATACTCGAGATAATGACAGCGTTTACTATGAGTTTGTATCGTTAGTAAAAAAAAAAGTTCGCCCGGTTTGCAAAAAATGTTGCAAACCAAAATTTATCTGCACAACTCGAAGTTTAGAATTTATGTGCATAGTTCAAATTTTTTCTAAATTATATTCCGAAGCGAACTCATAATAAATGTCCCGAATTGTATTTACACAGTTAAAAGTTACCTTTTTGAAAAGTAAAATTATTTAAATAAACTACACTAAATCCAGAGTACAGTATTAACTTCAGAAGGAGTAAAGTTTATTCTTGATTTAGAATAGTTTACTTATTTTAGAATTTAAATAGACTGTATTTACTTTCAATAAGGGCAACATTATTTTTAAGAGTGTCATATTTCTCAAATTCGAATCCTTATACTCTCCAAAATTTACTCACCAATACAGAAACATTGTAGAACTTCCCAACACGAAAACCACCCATTTCGCCGGGTATACTTCCGTCACGAGTAAAATTAGTTGGTCGATGCCATGCATGGTACAAAATAAGGCGTCATTTACTGCAATGTAGAGTGGAAATCTGTCCACCACGTTTTTCCTCGATTCGCACAACTTGTTCCGAATCACGTTCAGAATCACTGTGACACAAGCCAAAAAAGAGATCGTGGATGTCACCAGGGCGAAAATGTGGACGGAGTAGAATAATATAAAATCTCGATTCCAATGGGACGGACAACCTGACTGGAGTGGAAGGTCGGGACAGGATGTAGAAGTATTCATGCTAAAAATTTCAGAAACCAATTATTTCACAATGTTTTCATCAATTTTGAACGAAATACAATAATGGAGGTCTAATTTCGACGAAATTGGATCAAAAATTTGCAAATGTTGCAATGCGGTTTGGAGGAGATTTTTGCATCCCAAGAGTAGGAAATGTTTGGAAATGTAAAGAATTTAAAATCTGTCAGATTTAATGTGCGATTTCTCCTCTTTGGATGCAAATATCTCCGCCAAACCGGATCGTGTCTCTTGCAAATTTAAGGCTAATTAAATTTTAGATCGGTTGAAATTAATTTGGTCAAAATTCCACAATATCTATTTCAAAATGAGAATAATTACCTGAAAATTTTAAATGGCCAAATGTTTCTGTATTCATGAACCCACAACAACAAATAAATTCCTAGGTTTAAATATGATATTCATGATTCTGCTGCAGTGCAGGTGCACTGTTACGAATCGTGCACTGATTATGATGTGAATTTATTTCGTAATGTGGGAACGAAATTGCACGAAATTTACAAATTATGTGCAAAACTATACCACATTTTGGAGGAAATGTCTCCGTCACTGGGCAGATTTGAAGACTGGCTACTTTCCAGAATATGTAAAAACTGATCACGTTCTCGGCATCATTAGGCATGAAATTCTCAGATACGAAGTTTAGTGGTCAGGTGTGAAAACAAATCTCAATAAAATTTCCACTTTTTCGTTTATCTGGACATGTGCCGTGCACGCAGGATGTGACAGTTTTTATGGGCGAAAAAATTGCATCCGGCAGCCCTTAGTGTGCAGAAAAATTTGCAAAATTTCCAGTCAAACTAGTTGCGCATCCTAGAAAATTGTGACGCGTTCAAAATTAGAAGCATTCATTATGAACGGTCCTAACGGGTGAGTTACATTTTTGTGGTAAAAACTTGTCCATGACTCATCTGCACTTTAACCTCGGCCCGAGTACAGTAGTAGTTTTATGATATGAATGATAAATAACTGGACTGGCCCAGACCACGAACAATGTGGATCTGTAAGCTGGAATTTATGCTAATGCAAGATGTTAAATCGTTCCTCAGTTGCACGAAGTTATTGAGTCCGTCTGGATTTTTTTGTGTATTAAATTCTTTCATTTTCCTGATGGATTAGTGGAATTGCTAATTTATGCTGAAAATATTTAAATGTGTTACACAATTGTTCCTTTAGTAGAGAAGTGTGTAGTCTTTTCAGCCTAAAAATTTATGCAAGGCATTTTTGCGATAGTTATAACCCATATAAATTGATGAATGGGTAAATGATCCTCACTGCATTTTTGAGGGACTGATAAACCTTGTTTACCCTTACAGTGCTAACTTTAGACGCAATTTAATACGTGTAATTAATGGAATACGTACATATTCAATGTAATTATGCTTTATCAGTATTCTTATGAGAAATTAAATCTGTTTCATTTATACCACCATTTCAACCAAGATACATGCTTAACCATTCACCATGAGGACACAAGAGAGTTATCTGAAATTTGTCTTCGACTAACTTAAATATTGGGAATCCCAATATTTAAGTTAGTCAAAATCATGATAATTAATACTTGCATATTTATAATGGAAAAATGGTAATGCAAGTCATTAAATAACAACTAACGGGATTTTCCCATTCCTCTTTATTTAATGGCTTTGATTGATTTCCATTATATTAAACATCCCATTATTCCACAAACCTCCAACCGAGTTTGATAGTATTATCTAATAGTATTTTCTATCCAAAGTTAGCTTTTCGCGTAATTCTGAGTTAAAAAAGGCCCTTAAAAATAAATTGCACACGCAAACTAATTTACATACCAGGCAGTATAATGACTTACCAAACATATCTGGCATTTCTTGCTGGAACTCTATTTTCTCAATTTCTTCAAGGTATTTTCCTATTAATTTCCAACTGATCAATTATTTCCACAATCCTAGAAGTACTTAATCGCATTTATTTCGCAATATAATCCAGAAACACACGGTTACTGCCTTGGCAATTTTGTTCGAGAAGATTGCGACTCAATTTGGGGCTCGTGTCCAGCCGGATTCGCCCAACACCATGAAACCATCCCGCACGACGTGCCAAACTGCTATTGCGTCAGGGATTTAACTTCTGACGAAATTAAGGAGCGGACCGACTGTGTTTGCAGTTCTCGAATTCGCAGCTGCAACAATCCGGTCCATGGAGGTTCACAGGAATCAAATGCGTACCCTTGCATGCAAGCTGTCCGAGACTGCCCCGACGAAACGAGGGCACTGATTTGCAGCGGGACGGAGGAATACCGCAGATACGCGGAATTTTGTCCCAAGAAACTTACCACTGACGAAAGACTTGAAGCATGCGTTAAGGCGGAAATGAATTTATGTTACAGACAAACTTTAAATATGGCTGACCTTAAGGAACGAAATTCATATTTAGACTATTGTAAGAACAAGCTTATAACACCGTACTGTCAGAAAAATCTTACTTCTTAATAAGTGAATAATCTGGTTCAAGTTTTCTCAAGAAAAATATGTAGTCACGTATGTATTTAAAATTGGATTTGTAATACCGGCGGCCACATACATAAGCTATATAAATATCACATATCTAAATTAAATATGTACATATTTATGTAGAATTTTCAATTCGAATAAATTTGTATGTAGTGGTAAACATGAGAGCCGTACAAACTCAATGGGCAAGCATGGACTAATGATTGACAGACAGTTTGGCGAAAGCCGTTTTGGCGAAGATAAATATTCGCCAAAATGGTAAAAAAATTATCATGAAAGCACCGAATGGCGAACTTTTTGTCGCATTTGGCGAAAATTAAAAACTCGTAAAATCACATTTGGCGAAATATAAATTTCACATTTGTTCATGTCAAGTACCTTAAAATTATAATCAATTACTAAAGATAATTTATCGCCTATTATGCCGAGGGAAGAAGTACTATTATCCGGCATAACTAACCGTGAAAGTCTCTTCTGTTATGCTCCATAAGTTCAGCTACGGGTATTGTTGGACAAATGAACAGTAAAAACATAATCATTTATAAATATTACATGCACTTATTTGATTGTTACCTATGAAGTACATATGAATTAATTTTAAATTTGTCTAGGTGTGTCGAGTATTTACCGTTTAACGGGGTTCGATCACACTTTTGTACATAACTGTATACATTTTGGAATCAATAAGTACTATTATTATATGGATAAAGTGTCTGAGTCGTTATCGGGAAGGAATGGTAAGCGACACAGAGTGGAGCGGGCAGCCTAAGTTTTTCGGACATGCCCTGTCACGTGGGCATGGGTCGGGCGGGCACAAAAGGGATGGACTGGGCATTTTGTTGCCCAAGACATTCAGGCTGGGCATTGAAAAAATGCTTCCCAGCTACCCTCTTAAGCGACAGCATGCTGGTTCAAATATATAATTACGAATGTGAAGAGAATGGAAAATTTGTGTGGTGTTGTCTTCATAATTTAGCATACTCGTATAATCGTTATTTTTGCAAAATGTGACATTTTTTTCGCCAAATGGTACTTTAAAAATCTTGTGCTAAAAATGGCTTAGAATGGGTGAAAGACAGTTATCGAAATTGATGGTAACCGTGGGCCCCTTTGCATTATTTTTTATTAATTTCCATGCAAAATGCTGGGCCCCCTTATTAGACATAAATATTACTTTTGGTTGTGTGGTAACAAAATATGAATTGATGAGAAAATTAATCAAGAGGAGAAAGCGTATATATTTGCTGCTGTGCAAGTTGAGATACATAATTAACAATGCAAAAAATCTGTAGAATTTTATTTTATAACTATTTTTTCGTTTTCTTTGACATTATGAGCATCATATTTAAGAGTTGCACATGATACATATTTATTATTACAAATAATGACAATATACATGCATGTCAAATGAAATGGATGAAATAAATAAATATGTACATATGTCAGAACATATGCATGGTGGAGGTTAAGACTGAGTTTCGCCCTCATCTCCTTAGCCGGCTGCCAATGTGGCTCAGTGAGTAGAAGAGTTCCTCACCTACTTAACCGTAGTAGCGGGCTGAAAGTCGCACCGGTCAGGGTGCGAGTTCGAATCCAATCCCCCCCACTTTCTTTGTGGGGTTTTTTTGTATTTACAAACAATGTAACTCTTTTTTTATTTTTTTTGGAAATATATATTATTAGATTTATGAACTCAGATTATTTATTAAGACATTCATACATATTTCATCAATACAACTATAAATACATACATATTTCATACATATTTCATACATACAACTTAATACAATGAATAAAATGATCAAAAAATACAAAATGTTGACTTAATTACTAACTTAAATGATTGTGCGTTAGAGAGTAAAATGATTTGAAGTGCATACATAACTTTAATACAAAAAATTAAGCTAAATCTTTTGCGTCTCAGATCGCTGCCACCACTTCCATTGGACGCCCGGCGTCAAGTATTTCCAATTTTCGCTTCCGCACGTTGATTGTTGTTGGGGTTTGATACTTCTGGTATCCCAAGTACCACAGCACCTTTTAAAATACAAGATAATCATTTATTTACCAGTTACGATAATTTGCATGGAACAATTTTAAATTACGGTGCAAATATGTGAACAGCAACCCAAAGTACGTGCGCCTTGTTTGCATTTGCAATAGAAACCTTTTATGGCGTCAGCACCTTCATCATTGGGGTCGGAAGAATATTCGATCCAAAGATCATGGGCTTTGTTCGCCGTAAATCTGGATTCGATCTTGGCTCTCACGATGTTGGGAAACTCTGAATTCAGCTTGATTTCGAAGTTGGTGGAATTTTTCATGTGTAACGTCGCATATCTTTTGGCTAATCCGATTTGATACACTCCAAGTGTAATATCTTCCATGTCTTCGATGGAAAGTTTCGGGAATTCTGGAAATTGATCCAGCGAGGCTTTTTTCCATTCCTGGGTCCGCCGATCCATTTTCTCCACTTCCACTCGCTTTTGTAACACATTCTCCTGGTCGACGAGTTCCAGGGCTCGTTCGGCTATCTTGTCATGTTTTGGGGAGTGAGTGGAAAGAGGAGGACAGAAACAGTTGATAAGCGCGCATCCAATTCTGAACAACATTGGAAGTTTTTCGAGGTATCCTGAAATTGCAGTGTAGCAAGATTTAAAAATTGCATCCCAATCATACAATCGTTGACATGAATACATAACAATTATACAAACTTACCTCCAGGGACGGTTTCTCTGAATAACTTGAACTTTTTCTTAATTCTCCCGTTCACTGCTTCCACCAGCCATCTAACCAGGGTTACTCGTCTTGACTCATTTCCTTGTGTAGTAGTAAATTGCTTGTCCTCTGAGTCCATCAGTTCTGGCATGTGTGTAAGGTGTCCAAGACGAAGCAGCATCTGAATCACGTCCCTAAACCCCCTGTCCAGAATGTGGTGATCCCCGGGTTGTAGATAAGGAGAATCAGGAGGTAGCTCTGACAGGATGGATTTTAGGATCCCAGCATCATTATTTTTACCTGCGAGAAGTAATTGCGGATCAGTTGTCAGTCCAGAATTTGTCATATTTTCCTGATTTATTGTTAAAATCCACTTACCGTTAGCATAATAGGGACCACACGCAGCCAATATATACCCAGATGGAAGAACGATCATAAATGGTTTGACCAAGTTACGCTTTTTCTGACCAGAATACGTGAGTTTCTGTAGATGAAAATCCGCTGGCTTCTCAATGTAGACATACGTTCCGTCCATGATGAGAAATAGTTTGGTCGGGTCGTCTTCTTTAAATAACTTGGAATATATCGGTCTGGAGTGGTCACGAACGGCTTGTTCACGAGACAAGTGCTCAAATCCAAGGTACTTCTTAACGAAGTTGTTGTCCAAAGCTGTTGCCACTGCGTCAATGGTTTCGCTCACGCAAGACTGGTTGGTTATTCCAAATAGACTGCCCAAGACTTTCTACATAGAATGGAATAAAAACATTGAGTACTAATTTTACTAAATTCTGCTATAAGAATAGATTTTATATATTGCACCTGAGACAAGTTGTGGCGAAGCAGCATTAGGAAGATGGCTAAAGCATTTCTGGTGCTCCTGTTCACACTGTTATGGACGTGTCCGGATATTTCTGTCAGCAACGAATTAAATTGGATCTTGGAGAAGCCGACAAGGTTGGGATAGTCGTCCTTATTCACGTCAGTATAATCATCGAAGTTGTAGCGACGTCTTCTAGCACCTATCTTGTATTTGTTACTGCTGAGATTCAGAATCCACTGTGCAAGCTCTTCATCCGACATCAAAATACCATGCTTAGTCGGGATGATCAAATCCATCGCTTCATCCGTAAAAAGTTTTCTCTCAAGGTGTAAAGCGCAGCAGCGATTATCATGTGGGATGTATATTTCTTTCTCTGTCCAAACTTGAGTGATGGCGGATTTGGGAATTCGATGTCTGCCAGAGTCGTTATTGCATATAAAGCACCGCTTCTGCGTGGATCCAACAGAGTTGATAGTCGGAAGTCGCCGGGATTTACTTGACGTAGAGCTGGACATCGATACTTGAGAGATAAATGAGTCGTGACCTTGAGAAGAAATGGTTGATGCCTGCGAATGATTTCCGGTCGTGGTCATTGTGATAGTTGTTCCCTGAGTGCTCCATTCTGACACGACTTCGCTTCTGCCGCTGATTGAAATAGCCATTGGGAACTCATCGTGGGATGCAATATCTTGTCCACCTGGTACATAGATGAGATGGTTACTATCTTCTTGTCACAATTAAACATACTTCACTCACTATTTAAATGGAAGTCATCTAGCTCCATATCCAGTAGTCCATACTCGAAACGATCAATCTCTTGCTGAACAGCTTCGTCGTCGCAACCATCGCGAGCATCTTCATTGCCACGAACAGCGTCGTCCTCACCACGATAATAATCTTCCTCTCCGCCACGAGAATCATCTTCTTCAGCGCCATGAGCATCATGTTCCTCTCCGCCACGAGAATCATCTTCCTCAGAGCCACGAGAATCATCTTCTTCAGCGCCACGAGCATCATCTTCCTCAGAGCCACGAGCATCATCTTCCTCTCCGCCACGAGAATCATCTTCTTCAGCGCCACGAGCGTCATTTTGTGCGACACGAACACCACCTTCCTCTGCGTTAACTTCTCCGCTCAGATTGGCCCTCCGTTTCGACCTTGTCTGTTCCGGAAAAATTGGTACAAGGGTTGGAGCAATTGGAGTTTTCCGGACGAAATTCTTCAAACCGAGAGGTTTTAATTGACCCCGTATCTGGAATTATATTTAATTATTAAATAAGCGTCCATTTATACAAATATCAACTTACCTTCATATAGCATCCTTGACAAATGATCTCCTTTTTATCGCTATCGTCCGATTTTCCATTCATGTAAGCCTGGTAAAGTGGCCATAATGAAGGCTGCCCTAATCGACTCCGTTTTTGGGTGGTAGTAATATGATGATTACAATCTTCCATGAAACACTTTATATTTGGCATTTTTGAAGTAGTTGGTGCGAGATGATATGTGGGGTGAGAAG